GACATTTAGCAGAAGAGATAAACTGCATGAAAGAGAGAGGGATCCTTCATGGGGTAGGAAGGAAATCTAGACAAATACAGTATGCTGAAAGGCTGGGGAAAGGAGTGTGTGGGAATGTTGGCTGCTCCCTATCATTATGTACTGCAAACATGTGCTACTAAAACAGAGTTACACTAGCACGCAGGCGTAGGGAGGGGGCTTCACTGAAGAGGAAAAGTAGTACGCATGAGCAGAGTGAAGACCCAGAGAAGCCCAGTGCCTCTCCTACTAGCTGAGTCTGGGACATGACTCTATCTCTCTGAACTTAGGTTTCTTAATTGCAAAGTAAGGACGATATTTTACATTTATTTATTTATTTTCTGTCTTTTTGAGACAGGGTCTCACTATGCAGTTCAGGCTGGCCTTGAGCTCATTTTATAGCCCAGGCTCGTCTCAAACTCACAACAATCTTCCTGCCTCAGCCTCCTGAGTACTAGGACTACAGGCTTGCGCCACCACACCCCATTCATTAAGGATGATACCTCACAGAGCCATTCTGAGGATGGTGAGGATAGGCCTTATGAAGCCCTTACTATTCTGCAGGGCATACCTACGGAATCAACACCAATTCTTTTACTCCTTCTCCTTTCCTCAGCAATTCTGGTTGGTTTTCCTCCAGTTCCAATTAATTAACTGCTTCAGTCACCACTGGGTGCGTGGGTGCTATTTGCCAGACTGTGGACTGGCTCTGGAAATAAACAGCTGGTTAAGATCTATCCTCACGAGTTGGAGGTTAGACCAGGAAGTGACCCCCTTACTAGTACTTGGACACCAGTATCTCTGTTAAAATTTGGTTAATAAATGCAAGTTCACCGTGTCCGTATTACCCAGTAGTCACTGTGTTGGACTCCAGGATACAAAGTGATTCGACCCTTTCAGGGACTCAGAGCCTGGGGTGGGGGTGGGGCACGTGAGCTGAGCGCCGCAGTTCAGAGTGAGCCCGTGCTACAGAAAGGGCAGCACGGGGCTGAGTCACAGCACAGCATCTGCAGAGTGTGTGTGTGTATCTGGGGGTAGCACAGTCAAGGAAACGTCTTAGAGGAGGAAGTCTCAACCGAAAGCGCAGGATGGATGGGTGGTGGAAGTCCACGCGGGCAGGGGGAGCAGTATGCACAGTCAAAGATGCTAAGATGCCGGCAAACTCAGGAAACGGCAGGCAGCTCAGGCTGTGTGGAGGACGCTGCAGGAGATGAAGATGGAGGGAGGCAGGGGCCAGGCGCCAGGAGTTTAAATCCACACCGTCTATACGGAGGGCAAAGGGAAGCTTTGAGAGCATCAAAGGGGGCTGGGAGTGGGATGAGGAGCGCATAGCAGGTGTTCAGAAGTTCATTGTGGCAGGGGTGTGGAGTATGGTGTGGAAAAGGGCCTGGAGAAATGGAGATCAACTAGGACACGGTTTTATAATCCTAGTGAGACTTAAAAGGCCTGAGGGGAAGAAATGGCAATGGGATACAGGATGAAGGAGCAGGGAGTGGATTTTGGAGGTCTTAAATCACTGGATACACTTAGAAAATGAAAGGCATCGGTCGAATTTTGGCTCCTGACACATTTCTAGGAAACAGAAGCACTAAGAAATCTTGGGGAAAGACTCATACTGAGGAGTAGAATTTCATATAGAAACGTAGCTTTACTGCTTAGTTTAGCTGTCACTTCTCACTGCCGCTGTCCCCTGGGCTCCTTTCTCATACCCCACGTGAGTTTGCAGGACAGATGACGGCTGCTGTACGTGAATTCATTCCCTTTTCCTAAGACCTCACCAAGGAGGCACTATTACAGCTGAAAGGCTAAGGCACAGGCAGGTGAAGCGACTTCTCTAGGGCACACTGCTAGCAAGTGAAGAAGTGGCTGGACCCCAGGCAAGACGGCACTTAGTCATACATCCTACCGTCTCGGAACTAAGAGCCACCAGTAACAGATGGTGTGCAAAGTACGAGTTTTAGACAATGAAGAATGGAGAACAAGTCTCTTCTAACATTTCTTTTTGACCAAACTTTCAAAGTGTAGCTGAGGAGCTATATGGCTACTGGAGTTGTTAAGGGTCGTCCTCCAAAGCAGATGGAGACAATGGAAAAACAGTAAGAGCAGAGGAAGGCTTGAGGCAAGAAAACCTACTGATTTCACTTTACCTTCTTTGGGAGCTTCTCTTAGATAAAAACATGGCTTAATAAAAAGAACAGGCAGGTTCAACTTCCCAAATATTCTGATGCTGTTGTACAATGCAAACGGTGGTTCTGCTATCAATAGGTCCCACTGAGAATCTTATAATGTGAGTGGCAGAATCAGTGTTCAAACTGGAAGACACTAGAGACTCTGCAGTGTGAATGTACATGAAGCTCTCCCTCTTTCCTAGAACTTTAAAAATAATCAAAGCAGAAAATCAATGTGAAAGGGTTACAGAGACTGAGTCTTCTTCTGGACTACGTAACTTTCTCCTGCACTGAGCTGAGGACGCCTCAGGTGTGGGGTCCTATGGGGCCCAGGATTGGCAGCTGAGAGGCTGGGGGGACAGGTGGAAATGTGCCAGTGAGCTAAGCTGTTAATGGAGCTAGCTAACGCCCTCTCTCATATCCAAATGTAAACATTCTGGGCTTTGGAAGAAACTTCCCGGAACTCTGCAAGCTCTTAAAAATCCATCCCGCTGACCATCACACTCAGGTCTGCATCCAACTTCTGGGAGTGGCACTTTTAACACAATTACAAACGTATCTCCTGTTTCTAACTCACTAATGGTCAAACTTGATACAAGCTTAAATCCTATTCTCTTACATTAGAAAGACTACATAAAAATGCTTTCATCCAATTTAGACTGGATGCTTCCAATGTAGAGATGAACACCCGCATGTCTCATACAATTAACAGCGCCAGAACATGGCAGTATCCCAAACCAGAAGTCTCGAGCAAACTGCACTTTCTGAAAGGGAATGGGAAGCTGGCACTATTGCCTTAAACTTTCAGACTAATTTTCCAAACATACAACTGGTAATCCAAGAACACCGGGGAGGGAACTTGGGGCGAGGGGAGGACAAGGAGTCCTGAAGCTCACTGAACAGCTGGACAAAGAATGCCTAGCAAATATTCTGACTGATTCCCTTTCTCATCTGGAGGCTGGGATGTGTAGCCCAAGGAAGCTGAGGGTTAGAAGGAAGAACTACAGAGGAAATTGCTAATTCTATGGTGAATGAGCATTTCAATGTTAGCTTGCAGGAAAAGGCGTAAAATCTTGTTGGCCTCCTATTCTGGAGCCCGACAGGCCAGAATGTCATGAATAAATGGCGACAATTAGCTGAGGTCTATGGGGTCTAGCTGGGAGTTCCTGGGCAGTCTGAGAACAGGCCACTTTCCAAGACAGGGTTGAAAATGGGTGTGTCAACTCCATACACACTCAGGTAGCTGTAACTTTGGTAAAATTGGTTTCAGAGTAAAGTCTCCTGTCGGAATACACAGGTAAAGAGGATTGGGAAGGAACAATACCATTAGGTCAAAGCCGAAAAAGCCAGAACAAGTTTAAACGTGGAAATGAATTCAGAGCTCCTTCTCTCATCCCCCGCCTAGTCCCCGGCCGCTGTTCCTGAGTACAGCCTTGAGTTGAGGGCCATGGTTTTCTCTATAGCAGCTACAGAAGAAGGTCTACTGGGAGAGAGAAGGGCTGGTGCCCTGTACGTCTACAGCCCAGAAATGACCATCTCCTGGAGCCATTAGGTCAGGAGGGGAAGAGAGGACCTGGAGAGGAAGTGCTGCCTCGACTCTCCCCCACAGTGGGTCTCCCTTTCAGGATCACAGACCTCTGGAGCCACAGAAGGTCCCTCGTGTAGGTAAATGAGTAACAAGTCTGTGAGGAAACCACCCTTCTTTTCTTTCTTTTTTTCTTTCTTTTGGTTGACACAGGATTTCACTATGTAGTTCAGGTTGGCCCTGAACTATGCACCCCAGGTTGACCTCAGACTTACAGGGATCTTCCTGTGTCAGCCTTCCACATGCTGGAATTAAAGGCACATGCCACCATGCCTGATATAGAAACACATCTCTTTTAAGACCATTAGAGAAAAGAAACAGGGTGGACTTATCCTGGCCAATACCCACTTCAGGGGAGAGAATGACCAGGCATATCCCCAGCTTTGGTCTAAGTCCCCTCACTAAACCCAAGGGAAGAAACCTAGCACTTATATTCTTTTTTACTCAAAGACAAAGTATCGTAATGGGGACCTCAACCACTAGGATAAAGACCAAAGTGACACGAAAGTAGATATGGGGAACATTCCAAGACTAAAAGGAAATCAGTGTGAGGGTATAAACAATATTACCATGAACTACCCCACACAGCAAGTACATGGATTAACAAAACCCAGATTTTTACCAAATCAAACCCTCAAAACAATGACTTCTGGGCTGAGTCCCCAAGTTTGCTCCCTCTAAATATATGAAGTCTGAATTTTTAGCCAAAGAATGAAATCTCTTTCATTTGAGATAGGAATTCCATATCTAATATTAAAACATTAGAAGAATGAAATAGTAGAGCAAGTTCCTTATTACAGGAGAGCCTGTGGGGCAACTGATCAGATTTTCACAAAAGACAAGGTACTTACAGCATCAAGTGACAAGGTCTGACATGCGAGGGCACAGAGGGACACAAAAGAGAACTGTGTTCAGTGTACAGTGATGGACAAGTAATTTGGAAGCTAGTATCTATGAGGTTCAACTGCCCAAATGCAAACCCAACGGCAGCTCCCCACAGCGAGGCCAGATACCAAAGTCTTGGTACTCGTATCCTCTGCATACTACCTCACCTTCACACTGTGTATGTGAGCTGGTTCCCATGCTGCAGCGAAACACCCATGCCTCCTAGATGGGACTGAAGACCCAAGGCAGCAGCAGTAAATACATATCTTGCATATATGTCAGAGCAGCCCTCAAAGAAAACCTTACACCTTAGTAAAGAAGTCAGAAAATATCAACAAAAATGGTAACTTTTTTCCTACAATGTTTAATCTCCATGCCAAGAATGTCCCATTTGATGTTTCCCTTGCCTCTTAAAATTAGGTGACAAAGTAGAAATCCGTCTGTGAAAATAAAAAGGCAGAGGTGTGAGCCCTAGCTCAATGAGACATATCAAATACATAGCATCCTGGTGTCACAGGACAGGCAGAACTGTCCTAGATACTTTGGGGGGAAGATAGGTGCCGAGGAGGTGAAACTTCTGATGATCACGCACACTTGAACAGTACATTAGTCACTGGATGAGGGCAAAGGGTGGGAGCCAGGGAAGGTGCAGAGTTGTAATTCTCTGTATGAGGGCTGGGAACATATACTCATGGATGGGAAATTTTAAGTAGCTATGTTTATTATTACTTTTTTTCCAGCAATCTTGCAAGAGGCAGAAGTGTGACACTGAATTGAGTGAGACGAGCAAGTGGGTGGGTTGGTGAGGAGCCTATGTCTTGACGCAGGCCACTGGCTTGTCAAGGAATGGCTGGTTCCACTGCTGAGCTGTGTTTATTCTTTTGCTTCAAGGAACAGGGTTTCTTGAGGGAACAACTTTACTTCCAATAATGATTTATTGGGGTCTAGCTGAGTGACCTGAAAGAAAAAAAACATGTATTAAAAAGACTGTAACAAGTATAAGTTTTTCCACAAAGTATCCCATCTAGGCACACTGATGGTGAGCCTACTGTGCACTAGCACGAGCCTTTTACATTATCTTATTTTATATTTAAGATACCTCTGTGATGTAGGTATTACTATTCCCATTTTACATGAGGAAGCCAGGGACTTCAGTTCAGTGGAGGAGCTAGCACAGACCTCAAGGCACAGGTTCTTCTCCAACCATCCATCCATCCATCCATCTATCCATCCATTCATCCATCCAGACACTCTACCACTTACCTACACCCCCAGCCCAAAGCTAGTTTCTGGAGACTCAACCTTCTGTGCCCTTAGGAAAAAGATGGTAGATATACAGCTGAATAGCGTTCCTGGGGGACCTCTGCTTAGTTAACTTCTGATAGTAGAGAGGCTCCGTTCTGCTTGGTGCAGCAGCTAGGCCTTTGATGGGATAAGAGCCAAGTCTTCCTTCTGTGAGCACTACCTGTGGTAAACTGTAGCATGGACATGCCCCCATACCCACAATGATAGGACTATCTTCCTTGGTGAGAGTAGACATATCACAAGCTCTCTGTTGGGTGTATATTTAATTTGAAAAAATAAATCTACATTACAATGTAACTTTGTTTTCAAAATAAAAAATATGAACTACTGAAAGTAAAGCGAGACATAATCTTTTGGCACTATGGGATATGGTACAGAGATCCTAAATTAGGCTCATGCTTTCCTGAGCTAGTAGCAAGGATGGGACAGGAAAGTCCTTTGAATCTGAGAGTGAGGGAAAGAAAGAAAAAATTTTCCTGTTTACCAAAAAAGGGTTGTGAATTTTAAAACGTAAAGAAGGGTTGGGGATATAGCTCAGCGGCACAGCACTTGCCTGGCAAGTGTGAGGTCGTGAGTTCGATTCCTGGTACAGAAAGACAGAAAGAAAGAAAGAAAGAAAGAAAGAAAGAAAGACAGACAGACAGAAAGAAAGAAAGAAAGAAAGAAAATAAACTACTCACCTTTAAAAAAATAAATAAAACATAAAGAAATACTAGTTAGTGGAAAGGACGCAGGGTGAGAATTAGAAAGACTGGTTTAAACCACAGCTGTGTTGGCTCTCAGCTTTGCGGCTTTGGAATAAGAATCAACCTTGCAGAGCTGATGTGAAGATTAAACAAGAGGGAAACATTTAATTAGCACAGTGTCTGGCACAGACACTGTGGGAGTAAGAGCAACTGTAAAGGTAGATGGACAGACAGACAAATGGGCAGCTCTGGGTGTGTGAGGGAAGGCCAGGAAGGCTCTTGTCAGCCCCGAGGCTGCTGCTCGGCTGCCTTCAGGAGCTCTGGGCCTAGGGAGAAAGACTGCAGATACCACCTGTGAAGACAGTCTTGTCTTCTGCTCAACCAGGCCTCACCTCATCAGATGGCTGTCATCTTCTAGCTAGAGAGAAGGGGAGGCCCTGAGGGCCAAGGCTGGGTGTCACAGGCAGGCTTGCAAGATGAAGTGGGGACACTATCTTTGTATCCAGACAGAAGCTGGCATACCTCTGAGGGTGGTTAAGCAGATCCACCTTCAGAAGCTTCTTTGCTTACAAGGGACCCGGGGCAAAGCTGGCTCTTCTAGTATCTCTGAGGTTATGGGCAGATGGATAGGCAAGGTGGTGGGAAGGGCCCACACTGCTGTCTGTTTCCCAATGCCCTGGGGGCAAGCTGCTGGCAAATGTTTACCCACTTCCCCAATTAACGTACAATACTGCACTGGCTTCTGTCAACAAACAGAGCTCTGCTGCCTCTGCTTCCGACTCTTTGGCATTTTGTGCCCAGCTGCTTCTGCTATTGTTCTTAATTAACATGCCAGAGCTCTTTCGGCATCTTCTACTTTGTTATTTGTGGTTTGTAAATACGATGTTTGCTGGAGGAAACCAAAACCATAATAGTGCCAGAGCTGTGAGTAGAGGCAGAAAAACGTGCTGGGGAGAAACAGAGGCTGGGGCATCGAGGCCTATGGTGCACCGTGCTGGGGCCAGCGAGATGCAAGGTTAGAGAGATCCATCAACTGTACCTAGTTTCCACATGAGAAAACAAAAATGAGAAAAGCTAAGGGATTTTCTCCAGTCACTTCAAGTGGAAGACCTGAGATTTAGGAAGGAGGAAACAAATTTCTTGGGCATCTGTTAAACACCAGGCACTTTAAATATATTATTTCATTTATTCCAGACAATAACCGCTCAAGGCTGTGGGAGCTGAGCCAATGGAGGCTCCAGTGGTTGCCACCTGTTTTAGGCCAGGAGGTTAGAAAGGGTCCGTGCAGCACAATGATCACAGAGTGAAGCAAACCCAGATCAGAATCCTAGGTCTGCCATTTACCACCTATCTGACCTCCAAAGAGCCTGTTTTCCTACCTGTAAAGTGGGAATCATAGTGTCTCCTCCCTAGGTGGTAGTGATGGCTAAGTACAAGGTGGGAACGCTTGGGGCACAGTCCTGAGGCAGTAAGTGCTTAGAGGGGGCGACCACACTGATTGGGGTGTTCCTGGAGTAGGAACCCTGTTCTTCAACTGCCAAGCTCAAGCTTCATCCCCAAGGCCTTCTGGTGCCTGGGCACCAGCTGCTTTTGTATCTACCCCCTGTCCAGTAGGATACTGCCCTTTCCCCGACTGGGGAGACCTCCGCGATAACTGCAGTGGCTGTGCTGCCAATGCGCTGCTTCAAAGTGAACATGGTGTGGGTGGGGCACTCCCTTTGCTGCTCCAGATCAAGCAGTTTTTTCTTTGAAGGTCATTTTGGACAGGAATTTCAAAGCAAGTAAGGGTGGTCTCTGTTTCCATTTTTACCTGGCTTGGACACAGTGACTGGGGGAAGCTACGGGGATGCAGGACACCATGCTTCTGCCCAGTGAGATCGCGGCCATAGTGAAACCACTCTGCAGCACCCAGGGCCCTTCTGAAGATGGGCCTGGAACATGCTGGGAGGGACCTCCTGGTAAGGAGGAGCCTACAATCTAGCTGAACCAGCTGAAGAACAGAACTGCCTGGAGAGAGGGCTGTGCCAGCCTCTTTGGAAATCTTTAGGCCGACAAGGAAAAGAGAGCAGATGTGCTCTGTGTGGCTTCAGTGGGTACAACTAGGACTGGTGAGGTCAAACTGCCTGGAAGCAGAGCTTAGCTGGTCAAAGAGAACTTTAAACAGACAGCAGCAGCTTCTGATGTGGCTGAGGGTACTTCTTTTTCTGTACCTTCTTTCCCCTTCATTTTCTTTTTGTTCTTCATCATCATTATCATAGCAGCAACGATTACCTAGTGAGGCCTCCCATAGAGTTGGAGCTTTGCAGAGTCCTCTCTCTACTTTATATTTAGCACCGTAAGTCATCCTCACAACAGCCCAGTGCAGTAGGTACTGCTGCCATTCTACAGATGAGGAAACCAAGGTTTCTGCCCATTGTACAGAGAGTAAAGTTTTGCACACAGGTCGGCCTAACTCCAAAACTCATTCTAACCCGAATGTTCTTGGCCAATATGGTGACAGGCTGCTTTAGGGAAAGGAGGGTTAAGTGTCCCCAGAAGCATTCCAATAGGGGCATATTTGTAGATGATGACTGCTATCATTTATTGAGCATTTACTTTGTACCAGTCACTCTTTGAAGCACTTTGTAAGATAATTTAATTTTCTTAATACCACTCTGAGGTAGGTAATTTGAGGTGGATATAATTATTATCCTTATTTTACAGTTGAGAAAATTGAATCATGGAGCAGAATAAGTAACTTGCTTAAGGTCTCAAAGCTATTAAGGGCAGAGCCAGAATGTGAATTAAGGTTCTCTAGCTTTGAAATCCACTTAACCACTAAATTATATTGCCAGAGGTGTTGTTCAGAGTAGGATTCACTGCTAAAGGAAATAAGTTGGAGGAGATGACCCTGAATTTATTTCTAACCAAGCGTCTAGGATATAAGATCTTCACTTTAAGAATGGCAAAAGGTCAAGGGTCATAAAAAAATCCTTAAATGTTTATAAAATACGAATACAAAAACCCAATCTGAGCTTGTGTTTTGCCATTTACTTGGGACTTTACTGAATTATTGACTCTCTAAATCAACACAGGAACCCACCCTTTGGGAGTCCTGGGGGATGAGGCGTGTTCTCAGATAAGAGGTATAGTTTGATTTTGTCTACAGTTGGAAGAGGTAAGTCAACCATTTTGACATTTTCTTCATTGTATTTAGGAAACCTGAATGGGCATATTCTCTCATTAAAGTAATATTTTAGCAAGCTGGCTTTGTGAGTTGTGTATGTTAGCAAAAAATGGGACATATTTTCTGTCAAACAGAGCTCTTCTTTTCTGGATCAATTTTTTCAGCAGTTTGAAATTTCATACACATTTTATTTCTGTTACATTGCTGTTGAGAAAAAATATGAATTAAGGTGACAGAGTCTCATAATAGGCCACACTGTGAATTCCAGAATGTTAGGGTAAAAAGCTACTTAAATGTCAAGTAGTCCAAGCCCTTCATGTCACATGAGGGCAACCTAAGGCTCAGACAGGTCAAGTGACTTGACCCAGCCACACAGTTGATTAATGGCAGATGTAGTATGCTATCCTAGGGTTCTTGACTTCTGTTTTAAGAGTCTTTACAGCCATGCCATCTACCTCTCACCTTTTTTATGCGAGCGTAAGTGCACTTCTACTTTATGCTGGGAACTACTAGGGAGCAGAAGCTGAGTAATACTAACAACAACAGCAATATTTGCAAAACACTGGCTCAGTTGCATGGGTTGGATACTATGATCAACTCTTCAATTTTGCTGAGGTAATGCTTTTATTTTGAAGGGAGTCTGGATCTAATATTTTACATTTAGAAAAAATGTTAGGTTGGATTTTTCTTTCTTTTCATGGTCCTGCTGTACTTGGACAGCTTATGGAGGAAATGCACTGTAAGAGTACTTGGAAATCAGTACTTAGAAATTACTGGGTTTTCCTATGTTCACATACACA